AACCTGAGCCCAGGACACTAGTATTCCGGTCTGGTAGCGACCCTTTATGTATTATGCTAAATTTCAAGCCAGAAATCGTTTTAGCGGTCGGTGCATACAAATACGTTTTCTTTTCTAAAGAAAACACTCAAAGAAAAGAGTATTCTCTACCAGAAAATATCCTTTAAGGACCCTTAACATTATAAATTTAAAAGACACATAAATTTTCTTCAAGTGAAGCCAGACAACTTCATTCTCATCATCGCAGTCGCGTCTGGAATAAGGCCAAGTTTATGGCGCCCGGCTTTCGGCGTGTACTTTTCGTTTTTGGCCAAAAGTATTAAAAAGTTTTATTCGTCGTTTTCTTTTATTTCTGGCTGCCTTTGATCAGAGAGGAGGCCCAACTGCAAAGGGATATAAAGTAGGGAAGGATTCGAGCTCATTGCAATGCAATTCCGTCAGTTTTTCATTCCCATTTTCCATTTTCCGACACCCTATCCACCCTCACACTTCACAGTCTTACTCACTTTTGCTTAACTGGCGCGAAAATGGTGGATTTCAGTCGTATTAATTTTTAAATAGTCTTGTGGCATGGCAATCCACATTGAACATGGACACAAGTGGCCAGCACCGCCGGCATGTCCGTGCACTAGTGTGTTCTGTGTGGCATGTGCCAGCTGCTCCCTGCCCTCGGCTTACGTTTTGGGTGAAACTCGCACAAAATTAAAAGCTTTTTGCAAGTGCACCTCCCCGTTGAAATAACAGCAGTCAACGGCTAAAGGATAGTTGGAAGGCTACACAGATGAGAAAACAATCTGATGCCTCTTAAATTAAAGTTTTAGGATAATCCCTAAAGCCACGAAGAAGATAATACACTACAAAATCAAAAGATAAAATCATATAATAATAGTAATGCCAAGTGAAGACCCTGCTCTCTTTATTTCCTGTGCAGCAAATTACCTCTAGTTGCTGCAACTTGTGATGCAGGCTTTCCGGCATCAAAGTTGGCCCTCCACCGAATCGGTATTAGCATAAATCATTCAACCGATCGGCCATACTTCATGCCGTCTAAGCCCCATCCAGCAATTTATGATTCCCGCTGGGCAGCAGAAACGGCCCACAAGCTAAGCCGACAACTTGTTGGGCCCTTAGGCTGCCTGGTCCTCCCAGGGCTCCACTTTGATTTGTGGCCAAAAGCGGGCATTATTAAAGCCTTAAGGTTGGGGCGGCAACCACGGCGTGGTTGGGATGGCTGGGACGTTGGCTAAATCCTTGAGGCTGCTCCTGTCGATTTCGAGACCCATTTGTATGCAAGCTCACGAAGCGCGAGAACGAAAAACTTATAACCCGAAACCGTGTTGTAAGTTTAGTTTAATAGTTGCTCGTCCGCGAGTTTTGCCAACTCCAGTCGCGTCGCGTTTTAATGCAAATTAAAACGTTGCCGGCGCCGAAAAAGTTGTCCGTGCTCCATCATTTTGGGGCGTCAAAGATTAAATTGAGCCAACACCAGACGCCAGGGACCAGAGCCAAAACCCCCTTCCAAAAAAAAAGGACTTAAAGGCCCAGAGCCCTTTTCTATTGCTGCATTAAGTCACTTGTGAGTTACTGGAGGTTCTGCCAATTTTATGCCATATACTCGGGCCATAGTACTTAAAGCAGGCTTAGTAGGAAGTCTTTAAAATAAACGTTAGTTAATGCAATGTTTTATATTATTTATGCAATCCAATTTCAAGAGTATAATATTTTTGTTTAAATTCAATTCTTCAGTTTTTTTGTTCTATTTAATTCATTTACTTATCTCGGCTTTTAGGTACATTAATTAATTCAATGTAAATAATCATTAACTAATCCAATCTCTATTGAAATGACATTATTTATCATCAGCTTTTTGCAAATGTCTGACTTAATTGGCTTCAATTTTATATTTACTTTTTTTATGCATTGTTGCTTTGCATTAAATTTATTTATTTTAGATTTTTTTCATGCAATTGCAATCAACTTGTGATTTACATGCAATAACACGCTGTACAAATTCAATTTCCTATTCAATTTCCTTTTGCATTTTAAACTACAATCACATGTAATTTTATCCATCAATTTGTACGAATTGTTGAAAATATTTCATCGTTAAGAGGATGTTGATGGAATTACCAGAAAAATTGGATTTTTGTAGATTGAATTGTGTCCATAAAAATGTATGTGAATTGGTTTAAATTTATTTGGTTTTATTATTGGTATTGTACAATCTTTATTATACTAAAATTCTTGATATAATTTAATTTAAAAAGCTTATAGTTTTCATTAAACATCCTTTCCTCAAACACTCTTAAAAAACCTTTGGCTTTGTCAATTCCAATTTGGCTTTCTGGCTCTTGCGGTTATTTTTCAAAATGCGTATTTGCATTAGCTTTGACTTTGGATTTGGCTGAGGCTTTTGCTTTGGCTTTGGATCGACACGGCGGTTTTGTGGGAATGCCTCGGCTTTTGCGGTTTGTCTCGGTTCGGCTTCTAGTTGTTGTTGTTTCTGGCAGTCGGGGGAAGCAATTTAATTGAATTATTTGTACTGGCCTGGCAGCCTCCTAGCCTCCTAGGCAGCCCAGCAGCTTGGCATCGGGCGTCCTCATCTGTGACAGCTGCTCTAATTAGTTGGGCAAAGACACCGGCGCCGCCTTTGCCGGCGTTTAATTAGCTCGCCTTCAGTTGGAAATTGAGGTGAACCAGGACCTTCTATTCTAACCGAATTGAATTGCTAACAAGCTAGGCAGCGGGCAAACCGTCGACAACAACTGTCATTCATCCACAATCAAAGCATTTAAATTAATTTCACGTGCCGCTCTCGTCCTGCGAGGATACGATGCTACACAATTTAATGATTCAGCGAATCCTGTTGCCATTGTCTAGTCAGTGCTCCTTATCCTTAGCCATTCATCCTGCGTACCTGCCGCCTAAGCTGTGTCGCCTCCTGCCTCCAAGGAATGTTTCTATTAGAGATGATCTCAACTGTGACTGGAATTGCGAAAAAGGACACTTTAAATGAATGAAAATGCCAGAGGAATTTATGATTCAATTTCCAACGTTTAATCAATATAATTTTAAGTGAATAATCACCCCAGTGAATAATACTTAATGAATGGAATTAAGCGATGATTTTATTAAAGATACCAATTTCTGATTTAAAGAGTAGCTGTGAGAAAATCACAGAAAATCACATAGCCCGAGCTGAATTCGTTCTTTTTTCTAGAAATTTTCCATCCTGGCAGCTTGTTATTGAGTTGACTAGGCATCCAACGTAGCTGTCATGTCATTTATCCGAAAAATCTGCCATAAACACGTCGCACACGTATGCGCCATTTTAAAAATGGCGTCAGCTTCACTTCCGCTAAACGCCGTCGTTGATTTTGTCTGCCCGGTCTGTTGGGCTTTCCTTCTCTTTAGCATGGCCCCGGGCAACTGCATTTGAATTCAATTGGTTTCAAGATGCTTATGAAGTCGTTAGGGAAAACGAACGCCTCCATCGAATCCTGTGAATCCTGCCGACTGCCGTCTGCCGACTGTCGACTGGCGGCAATATTGTCACATCGTCGAAAATAATTGCCGGAAATACAAAAGGAAGGCGGCGTAGCACAAAACGAAACCAAATAGAATCGAGGAAGCAAAACGTTTTGGAATGGGGGAAATAGATTTCCAATTTTCTCCGGCTTTCTGTAAAGGAAGCACCACAGGGCGTCCTTGTCATTGCGGCTTACGTGGCGTATACTCAACTATAATTAATTACAATGTCCTTTTGTGTTTGTCGTGGGTGGGGTTGCGGATTCTGGACTCTGGATACCGGATGCTTCCTTCTTGAGTGGCTTCTTTTCAATTTCGATTCCGGCTGGGTCAATGACTGTCCTCCTTCGGATGGGCTATAAAAGTCAACCGAGATTGCAGTCCGAGCCACATTCATGTACGGCCAGTGCCCGGACGGAGTACACGCAGGATCTTCTCTGGCTGGACTCGGTTTTTGAGTAGAATGGCCTTACTGTTGCATTTGCTGCTCCACTGCACCACCACCCTGCTGATTGCCAACGCCCTCGTGCTCACAGGAGATGAGGCCAAGTCCAAGGGGGGATTCCCCATTCCACTGGGCGACGATGTAGATGGCGTGGAGCTTCCCATGGAGGTGGAGCAGGAGGTGGTCGCCAGCAGTCAGCACTCAATGCCGCCAGCCTGGCTTTTCGATGCTCCACCAGCTCCCCCACCGCCACCAGTGTCGTCATCGAAACATCGAAGTGGCAGTCACAAGACTATTCTAAAGCACCCGGCCAGCACTAATGGATTCCACAAGCTATCCTCTCACGGACACCGATCCTGCTCCGTGGAGATCGTCAACCAAGTGCCGGGCATCTGCCAATCAATGCCCATGGGCAGTGCCTGCGTCACCGACGACTACATGGTCATCTACACCGATGGCAACTGCTCTACTCAGTAGAGTGTTCACTCCATTACGCATTGATTGATTGACGGATTGATTGACAGATTGATTGTTCGCTGGGTATGTGTGTGTGTGAGAGCCTGGATCGCGGAGGAGACCAAGTACGACTACCTGATGTCCTGTGCCACCAAAACTGTATAAATAAAATAATTGCATACAATGTTACATAAACTACAAGTTCTTTATTATGAGATCAGTTGTTGTACAGCTAAATTAAAATTGTTTATCTAGGTTTATTCTTTTAAAACTTTAAATTAAATTTTAAAAACTTTAACATTACTTTCGAGTAGATTTTTATTCTAGCGATTAGAATCTAAACACAACTAATGCATAAAGTTTAAAGTTGGGGTTTTTTTTTGGTTTCCTGACAAATCTAAATATTATATTATATTTGAAAAAATTCTAACATAAAAAAAATTGTTTTTATAAGAAAAAATATTTTTTTAAGTCCTTTTCTTTAAATTCTTTAAATACTTACCAAAAATTTAAATGCTTCCGATCTTCTTGTGAGTTTTCTAGCTTATTTAAGAAACTAACACACCTTGTACTATTTTAACTATGTTTTATCTAAAATACTTACTTAGCTAATGACTTATTAACTTTCACTCTAACTAACTATCTCAACTTTGGCCAAATAGTAGGTTTAACAGGCTTGGCGCCCGGAATACTCGTTGAGTTCCCGCTGGCCACGCACTGAGCTCCAAATAGCTCCAAGAGCTGAGGGGCTCGGAAAAATACAGATCTCTTCCAGCTGGAAGGCCCCACTTTATCCATGTGATCGTATATTAATCCCGTGACATCCAAGATCCGAAACTGCTCCAAAAGATGGACATCCTGCATATGGTTGCCCCACAAAAAGATAGCCTGATGGAGATCCAATCCGAGGTTCACCAGCTGGTGTTGCCCTTGAAAGTTATCGATGTGCACGGCTGTTCCCAGGATTTCTGCCGATTGGGCAAAGTTAACTGCCTGCTGGAGACTTTGGGCTCTTAGATCCATATAAGGATCCCAGATACGGGAATCGCCAATGCTCATCAGGATGACGGGAAAGATGTGTTGTTTAAGGCGCAGCATGGTACAGATATCCGCATCGAAGCTGGCGAAGATTAGAGGACGACCACATCCATACTGGATACTGGTCTGTATGGTCTTGTCCACATAGACGTTTTTATTTAGTGTCTGGCTCGATTCTAGAACTCCCGAGGCCATTAGTTGTGGCCACTTGATTTCCACTATGAGGCCCAAGGTTTTTGGCAGAGTTTCGTAAACCTCCGAGAGTTTGGGAAAGATTCTCGCGTTGTGACTTGGGTCTTTAACGTTAAGATGGGTGTACTCCTGCAGCGTCCAACGTTTTAAAATAAAAACCCTACTAGCTTTTAATTCCGAGTAAGTGAGCTCCCTAATCAAGACATATCTGAGATCAAAACGATCCCTTATTTGTTGCTCTTTGCTGGAGGTATAGAAGCCAAAGCCGTGCCAAATCACGGGAACATAGTCCTTGGTGAGCTGCACATCCAATTGTACCATATCACCTTTGGCTCTTTCCACTGCCATGAAGCTCTCAATGGTGTTTTCTGTGAGACTAGTTGATGATTGAAAGTAACTGGCTCCCATGCCGCGGTACCCTACATCCAACGTGGGCCAATTATCCGGCCAATACTGATGGAAACTGGCCCTTAGGTTTCCAGCCTCGACTTTGGGCATGGGCTGCACCACCAAGTAGGGCAGGGTTAGCTCTCCAATGGAAATGGCTTGCAGGCTGGCTAGGATAGGAACCTGTAGAATGCCGCGACTTCCTTTAAACTGTTCGGGGAACATGTAGGCTTCTCCCACGCTTAGCCGGATGTCCTTAGATCCCTGGTAAATGGATAAACGGAAAGCATTGTAGGTTTCCAAAGGTTGATAAATCCGAAAAACAACAACCGATCCTTGGGTGTAACGCACTCCATGCTTACTTTGCGAGCGGAAAGCTGAGTGATTGTACGAGAATCTAGAGACCTCTATACGCGTATCGTCCATTAAGTTCAGGGGCGTTAAGATCAGTCGATACTTTGTATTACTGGCTAGGCCGGCTATTAAAAGGTGATCCTGCCAGGTGAACTTCAGCTCGATGACGTACTCGTGCTGAAGCCACCCTCTTTCCAGGCTGAAACCTCCACCGACGGAAGTGGGATAGGCTTCTCCAAAGATGTCCAGACCGGGAGAGCGGTACATTTCGTAGGTCTGCAGCATCCTAGCCACTGTCTGGCCCTCCCACCTGCGCAGGATACGCTTTCCCTGGGCATTTCTGGAGTAGATCAAGTACCTGTAGTAGAAACGCTGGGTAGCACATATCCATATCCGGAGGTACCATTTCGTGCGGTCTTTATCCTGTTCCTTGAGGGGCACCGCCTTGTCCAGATTCCAGGAACCCAGAGCCGGATGGTCGCCACTGACAGCCACATACTCATCTGGCGCCAGACGAATCTGATGCCTCAGTTCCAGGTTGAAGATCCGAAACAAGGGAACACATATGAAGCTGCGACCAGATATCTGGCCCGGTTGTTCGTCGTCGAAGACTTTGAAGGCCTGCAGCTTCTCCGGGCCGAAAACAGACGATTCATTGAAAAACGATCCACAAGGTGGCAGAAGCTGCAGCACCAGCAGCCACCACAGTATGCTAATTGATTTTAACACATTCAAGACAACGCAAGATCGATACATTTTTCCTCATTCCACAAAACACCGGAATCACCAGCAACATCTTTGCGCCACCGAAACAAGTTTTCTCTTTTTTAAACCGAAATAATACAGATCAGATCGGAGTGTATGCATGCGGTGGCAACTTGACCCGACGATGACAAACAACGGAATGAAAGAATTTCTTGGAGCTCACCGTGGTTTTGTTTTTTGGCCAAACTGGAGTCTTTTTTGTTTTGGGAGGGAATCAGCCGCTGCGAGAGATACTCTGACTAATAAGTCAGCAGCTCACTAATTGAGCTCAGTGGCCATTTGGCGATGACAGCGTGAGCAGATAAAGCCTTTCGGTTAATTAAAACACAATAAAACACGAGCGATACGATCGAAGGGGTTAGACATTTTAATTGGTCACCGGGGGGTCAACCTTTCACTGGCAATGAATACATTATGATGTCGCCTGTACATTCCCGTGAATCATAATTTCTCTTCCCTCCTCGGAGGGCAGAGTATCGGAGCTTCGACTTGCGCATAAATCCATTCTTTGTTTTAAGATATTCGCATATTTGTACCAAATTTGGCATATGTAAATTTCTGAACCAAAGAAAGTTGCCACAGAGAGAGAGAAGCTGCTGAATTCAGCCAGATACAAACGCACTGATGTCAGATATTTTCGTTCACCACCAGGGGCTTGATATAATGCGGATGGAAGTCCTGCGACATGTACTTGGGGATGTGCCAGCGCTGCAATTTCTTAACCTGATCCTTATAGCAGTTTTTTGGTTTATTTCTGATGGTAAAGTTTTCGAAAGTCAGTTGGACGGTTTTCAGGTAGGTCTCTACAACTGCCAAGGTCTCATTGGAGGGTTCCTTCATCCTAGTATAGATCATCATGCGTTGACGCATCCAGGGCAAAGAGCAGTGCAGTTCCACGGCATATTTGGCATAGTCTGTCATGGTGATTCGTGTCCAATAGAGATCTACTGTGAAGGGATAGTATTTTTATTTAAATTTGACTTAAATATTGTTAAAAACTTACGCTCTTTAAAGTAACACTGCCTTGATTTAAACGGATTGCAAGCGTAAACCCACCAGCCTCCCTTTATCTGAAAAATATCATATGGATTAATGGAATTTTAAGATCACTATTAATGACTAACCTTTTCAACATCCACTGGATACTCTTTGTACAAGCACTTCCATGTCACAGGATATGTGTTGTCGTCCTCAAGGGACAATGCTAGCCCTAAAAGCCAGATGACGAGCAAATGACATTCGCATTTGGCCATGTTAGGACGCATGCAAATGAGCCGCTCTCTAATTGACCATAAACCGAACGGGCTTTAGGCCTGGCTTCCAGTCCGAGGCCCAGAGCCAAACCTTTTTATGGCCCACTCTCCGTTTTCCGTTTATGGGTCTCAGCATTTTCATGGCTGTTTTTACATTCGTCACGGGGCCATCAAATGTAAGCGGATCGAATTTTACATACAACTTTGGCTCGGCGGGCCCAGAATTTCTATTTCTTTTACTTTTGTCTGAGATCTCCAAGTAAAACACGTCATTCGATTGAGTTGTTGAAAATATTATGAAAATATTTCTTATGATTTTATTGTTATAGGTTTTTTCAATCACTTTTGTTTTCTGTTGTGGTGCTTGACATTAAATATTGAATATTGTTTAAAAAAATATTGTATTTGTGATTGTTATTTGGTTTTCTCTTGGAGTTGCAGTTTATAAAAGCTTTAAATATTTGTTTTTAGAAGGTGGTTTGCTGTTCTTAAAAATTATAACAACATGCAATATTTTTAAAAATTATTTTAGCCGCAAGCATAAAAAACATTGCTCTATCTCTCATCCAACATGGTTGCCAATACTTCCCCCTTAATAATTAATTTCAGGTTAATTAAGATTGTATCAACAATAGCTTGTTAGAAATTTCTTTTTCATCGAGGTATAGAAATATTATTAGCAGGTAATGTAGGTGTATGTGTTTTTGTAATTCGCAGCTATTTGCTTCGCTTTCTTCTCATTGTCTTTTGTGGTGCTACTTAATTTTGTATTTCGGGGGGAATTCCTTTAGACGTTTTGCTTTTTCTTTTTAATTTTAATTTTTTCTGTTTTTTTTTTTTTTGCATTTGTAATTTCGCCAAATGATGGCTTAACGTGTTTACAGATGATTTATTTATGGCTGGGTTTCCGTTGAAACCACAAATTATTTGCTGCTCTCACATTTTTTTCTTTTCCCGGCTTGTGTTTAAATAAATATACGAACTAACTTTACAAAAATCTTAATGATTAAACCATGGCTTACATATACCCGCCCGTGTTTTCCCTCGTTTCTTTCCTCTGTGTAGTTTTTAGGTCCGGCATTGGGCCGCAAACTCGGCCATCAGGGAGGGGGATTTGAAAAAGGCCTCCTTCTTGCCCTCCGGCATGTTGAGATCACTGCGGTCGTAGCAGGTGGCTGTGGCTCCGATTCGGGTGAAGTACTGCACCCGCTCCTTGGTGTTGCAGTCGTCGCCCCAGATCACCGCAATCTGTCCCAGATCCTTGGCCTTCTGTAGCATTGCGGGGGCGTTCTCGCCCAGGAAGTCCTCGGCATGCGGCGCTGTTCCGGCCAACTCAAAGGCCTGGGCATTGTTGACGGCCGCCAGGAAGGTACGTGTCCGCAGGTCCAGGAAAGGCTGCCACTTCTTGGTCTCACCCTGGGTGAGGAACATCACGGGGAAGATGTTCTGCTTAAACCTCAGCATCGTGCACATATCGGCATCGAAGCTGGAGAAGATCAGAGGGCGTCCGCAACCATACTGGATCACCTGGTGCAGCACCTTGTCGACGAAGAAGTTCTTATCGATGGTCTGCTCAGCCTCTGAGCCACCGCCTTGACGCCTCTGGGGCCACTTGATCTCCACGTCGATGCCCAGGGACTTGGGCAGTTGTTCGAGCACCTCCACTAGGGTGGGGAAGATCTTATGCTCCGGACGGGTCTCTACGTTGTGTGAGGGATACTCCACTACCTTGCCGGCAATCACGGAGAAGATGCGCAGACGCTTCAGCAAGCTGTAGTTGATGTCCTTGATCAGCACGTACTCCAGCTGCTCCGGTCGGCTGATTTGCTTTCCCGGAGGAGCAGTTCGCAGACCAAAATCGTGGTAAATAACCGGCACTCCGTCGGCGGTCATGTGGACGTCCAACTCGATCATGTCGGCGTGGTGCTCATGGGCACTTAGGAAGGAGGCGATGGTGTTCTCCCTCTCGGCTGGGGCATCGGCAATGTAGCTCTTGCCGTTGCCGCGGTGACCCACATCCAGGTTGGGCCAGCTACGGGGCCAGTAGTGGGCGTAGGTTGTCTTGAAGTCCAGAGGGGAATAGCGATAAGGCTGAACCACCATATAGGGAAGTCGCAGGCGGGCCAGGGTCTCATCGGCATCCCGGGCTGACTTGATGGGCAGGTGGAGCAGTCCCTCGCTGCCTTGGAACTCGGAGCTGACCAGGTTGGCGCTGCCCAGGAGCTCATTGGTCATGCTGTAGCAGTCCAAGCGGAAGTGCTGCTGCATAATCCTCTCCAGCGGCAAGGTAATGTGAAAGATTACGATGTCGTTCTTGGTGTAGGGCACCCCGAACACAGGCTGCTTCTCCAGCTGACTCTTGCCGTACTCCTGCTTGGTGTACTCCACCAGGAGGCCGGCGGTCTGCTCCACCGGCACAATCTTCAGCTGGACATGCTGCGGGTCAAAGGTCTCGATGTCATGCACCTGGAACATTTTCTCGCCATTGAACTTGAGCTGGAGGATGACTTCGTGGTTCAGCCATCCGCGATGCACTTGCGGCTTCAGATCTGCGTTTTCCGCTGTGATGCCAAAAACGTCCAGTTGGCTGCACTGCAGCTCGGAGCAGGGTCCCAAGGAGCGGGGCTTGAAATGGGTCTCCCAGCGACGGATCTGCTTGTAGCCGGACAGATCCTCCACGTAGACAAAGTAGCGGTAGTCCATGCGGCGGCATGCCTGCAAGGGCACCGTGGCCTGCCAGTTGAGATCGTCCAAAGACTCCAGGGGCACGCATCGGGACAGCTGCCATTCGCCCAAGGCCTTCACATCGCCGGTGAGTCCGAGTCGCTCCTCCGGTGCCAGCGGCGTTTCCAATCGCACGTTGAACTCCCGCAGGGTGGGCTTGCATTCGGACGAGGAGGATGCAGCCGGCTCCAGCTCATTGCCTGTGCCATAGGATAAGGCGGATCCATCCACGTAGGCGGCACACTGCAAGAACAACCAGGCCACGGCCAGGATTAATAAATTTGTCCGCAACATGGCCATCCCGATTGGAGGGCAGAAACCGACTGAGCGCCGCTGCGGCACCCTAGCCAGCTATTAAATAGACGCAGTCGAGATTAAACGATGACCCCTTGCGGATTTGGTTACGCCCTGATAAAGTTTCTCCGGCCCTGCCGGCGCCCCTCCTCCTTTCCCCAGCCCCGTTTCCCAAATTAGAAACGAAAACAGGTTCGCGCGATAAGCACGCGTTTTAAGTCGCCCCCGTATCGCTCGTGACTCTCTAAGATCGCAAACAAGATCACGTGTTGTACTGGGTCTCGACTAAAGATCGCCTCGGAAGTTATCAGCTCTTGACTATTTATAAAAAAAAGACACCAGACTCAAACCTCTTTACGAGTTATCAGCTTATTTGACTGCAACTGAAATGATTCGTTTTGATTTATTTAGCTGAGCCTGCCTTTAATTTGTCTCACTATTGGGGTATTGACACAAGCTTTGTTGAGACCTGCCCCTAATCAACCTGTTGTTTGCGTAATATACGTACTAAGTTTAATGGCAAATACTTGTCAGATAGAGAACCCCCGGAAAGACAAAGTACGTCAGTCAATCTATTTATTTCCTAGTTTTTATAGCTCCTGTTATTGCAAAAAAATAAACTAAAAATTCAAGAAAAATATGAAACATTGTATTACATTCTTTCAGACCCTATTAAAAAAATGTCAATATAAGCACGAGTTAAAAAATCGCTTAATATTGAGCGGTTTACCTGTCCATGTAAGCCGCACGGAAGACATTGCAATTTACGCGACTTTTGTCGCTGGTGCGGTTTCTGCGGCAGAGCTGTCTGATTCCGGTGGCATGGCAGTTTGCCGATGATGATGCAATGGCTGCCAAATGCCCTACACCTGCCGGGCCCCCGACAACTGGGCACTAAATAGGATCGCAATAGCCAGAGCTTGTGTAAGCGAAGTGAACCCATAAATTAACCAAAAAATACTAATATTAAATTATCGCGTGTTGTGCCAGCACAGCGGTTGGGGTCTATCGAAAACGATAGAGATTTATGCCGATGCTAATTTACGGAGAGTAAATTATATGTATATTTGGGGAGCACCACCCACCTAACCGGCCGAGTGTTCGGACAAATACTTCCTCCGCCTTGGCAACATTTCAAAAGGCAACTACCTAGCGGCAAAAGTCGCGTGTTCTGATGAAATTTAGTATTAGTGCCGGACTATAGGCGGGTCCAAAATCACATCGAGTGCTATTCGCACTTATTATAGTTTTCTAGGTTGTATATAGTTTTTCCGCATTTATGTATTTTCGTCTGACTTGCGTCAACCGGTGCGTTTTGGACGCGTTTTGTTAGCGATTTCACGTTCTTGGCACAATTAGCATAGCCTTGTGGATTTTTGCGGAGGTGGTCCGACCATTGGAGCCACTCTGAATCGGTTAAGCATTGAAAAGCTCCTAAACTAATGGAAATACTATTAAAAATATTTAAGAAATTGGTTTAAAACTTGAGATTTCTCAACTTTATGCTAATTTACGAGTGTGGTTCGAAAGCTTTGCTGCGATTTCTACCGCATGTTCACGTGTTTTCAACGCAGGCGCTCTTTTTAATGTACTCCCACTCGGCATACAGCCCCATATGTTTTTTGTTTTGGGAAATTTCAGACTCGAAAAAAAGCTCTCAACTTGTTTGGGGCGTTTTATTTATAGTTGGAGCAGCCGAAAGCTCCACCATCTGTTTCATGGCTACAATTTCAGCTTGACTTCTTATCAATTGAAGTGTTGTAATATCAGGTATCATATATTAGCCTTATACTTTATGGCAGGCTCTTAAACAATGAACGATTTGAAATCTAATCAAACAAGAGCCACTTGAGCTGGGGTTGCTAACTGGGCTCTTTTGAAAGCTTAGTCCCCAATCAAAAGTGATTCAATCACATGAGATCTTTGCAACATGTGGCATTTCATTTCAAGAGCTTCTTTCAGGCATTGTAGTTTGAGGTTGGGTTCTTTAATGGGTTTGTTTATTAGTACTCGGAAATGACGTCTTATGGGGGCTTGAGTTTCTGTCTCGCCTATTGAAAATATTGAATTTCATCGTATAACAAGAATAATAATAATTCAGAAGAATACACACTTTATCCACAACAATTTCCCCTGAAAATTTCAGACCCCAAAACATGTGCTTAATATTTCTTTAGTATATTTCCCAAGCCTACAATTACCTCTCTTCCCCATGGGTCCCTCTATCCAAAGCTTCCTCCCCCTTTTTACGTTGAATTATTGATTTTCAAATACCTACTCTACTACTCAGTCACGAAAATTGCATAAAAACGGGCAGACAGACAGACAGACAACATGCAAATGTACGATGACAACAGCATCGACCTTCAGACACCCCGAAAAAGTCAAAGCTCAACCGCTTGAGACACTTGCATTTCACTAGAACGTCACGGGAGTCCTTAGACCCACCCCACTTCCTCTTAATATACATATGTTTATATAAAACGATGAGTAATTACATTCTGCATGTGATCATCCGGACTTTGGGGTTCCATGGGTGTCAGCAACATTGGCACAGACATTTTGATTGTATTTCGGTTTCTTGCAGCACAACAAATAATAGAGGGTTTGGTTTTAGATTGCTTTGGTTTCTTGAGGAACCAAACGAAAATCAACAAAAATTCAACTTATATCACAGTAAATAGTTTGCACTATGCGGCGTATGCGCAATGTTGTTGCTGCTTCGGCTAGGCGGCGAGCATTTTGTACTTGTTTGTTATTTGTATGTTTGTTCAGTGATGGAGTTATAAACTTTTCTGACGTATTTCCTTAGGCAGGCTCTTCTTTGTTTATGTCCTTTGTGAGAGGGGGCCTTTGTGGAGGGAACTAGGACACTGTGGACGCTGTGGGTCCGTCGTCAGAATTCGACGTTGCAGTCGCAACTGTTTCTGGCACTTTTGTTGTGCGCGCAATTTAAACGATTTCTTTTTATCGAAAATGAGGCGGAGAGCTTTTCGCCAGTGCCCGTTTTCTTTCTTTGTATGTGCCAGCACACAGAGACGTAGACGTATCCGTCGACGTTGGCGATTTGTTTTGGTTTTCAGCTCGGGGTACAGTTGCGGCTTGGGCTTTTTCAAAATGTTGTTGGCCTCTAGCAGCCGGGCAACAGAAACACAATAAAAAACAAAAAAAAAACACCAGATAATAAATAAAACAAAAATAAGATTAATCGAATTAGCAATGCCCTCGATCGACAAGAATCAGAACAGGAGAACAAAGAAGAAACCCGATTAATCAGAAACAAATTACTAACTAAAAAAAAATTAATCATAGTTTGTGCAGGTTAACTGTGAATTAAAAAAACTGAAGGTTAAAGGTTAAAATAGTAATAATATTCCACTTAAAAATATAGCAGACAGAGCAGATAGAATTATCAAACATGATAAGATTTCAAGCGTAGTTATAGCTCCTAAAAAAATTTGCAGTAAAGATTTGCACAAAGATTTTTTTCCACCAAAGTCTTATAGATTGCTATTGGCATATAAAGATTAGTAATGTTAAAAACCACCTCTATCCCAAATTTCAAAGCCCTAACTTGAAGGCAAGCCAAGTTACATGAAGCTAGTCAAACCGTATAACCTTATCTTTAGGGTATCCAAAACTAAAACTTCGTATAAATTCATAATATAGTTGCGCTGCTCAGTGAAACACGCAAGCCAAAAGCTCTTCGAATCGAGCGCGGATGACAACACGAGAGCAGCCCCAACATACGAGACCAGCTTCGCCTCCTGACCCCCAACAGCCGCCCAGGCCCCCCTTTTAGGGTGACATGCCACGAGGCTGATTGGCTCTGGCGAGAAACGTGTTGGTCGTGTGCAGCGGTCGGCACGTGAAGAGTTTTTTGTTGTTATTTGTCTCTCAGCTGGTTTTGTGGGGCGTCGTCGGGGTCTGCGTCGGTGGTGGTGCCGGGCCCTCCTCGTCAAATGGTGGTTCTCATCTGTGAAACTGAATGGCATCCGGTTGAAAGCTCGCTCCGCTGTGGCATAGTATCGGCTCTCTCTTACCCACTACGGAACCGGTTTGGGTCGGTTGGGGATTTGCTGTTTTCCTTGTTGTTTGTTTACATCTAAAATTTGTGCGTGTTGTTGATAAGACAAGAACTATTTTCAAGCTTTTTGGCTTCGAAAGTAAAGCTCTCCGGTCAAGGTCTTGGGTGGCACAACGCGATCGTAATGCCTGATGTGTTGCTAGGCGCCTTTGTTCAATAAAATAGAATTATATCTCTCTTTGCTCATGTCGCTTTTGTTTGGATTTATTATAATATACGACACACTTTCACGACTTTATTCCCTATACCCATAATTTCCTTATTTTATTCTGTTTTTATATTAAATCTACTGTGCACACAAAACGCCTCATCGGGTCCAAAGTTCAATAAATATTTTGTTTAGCATTTATCTTAGAGCTTTGTGCTTGTTTTTCACACGTTGATATGCTTTTTAGACGCGCCCCTTCTAGGAAGTTGCGTCGCATAAATACTCACACCGATCTAGATATTTCAAAACTATTTGTTGTCTTATCTTCAACATGATTTCGGTCACGTTTACTTGTTGTTCTTTTCTACAAAACAATAATATTTACTGTTGCTTATGGCATCATCTGCGGGTTGTTTACATCATTGGCATACGCTACTCGTTTAGGCCTTGTAACCGGAAAAACAAAACAAACAATCGCTGGTGTTTGCCTTAGATAAGCTTTGGGTAAACTAATTACAAAGAAAAATACTTTTATGATTCCACCTACAATCTGGGAAGCCAAACCAGTTATTATAAAAGACCTCATAACTACAGCACTTTTTTTGGAAGGCATTTAAACCCCAACAACACAGGTGTATCACTATTAATTACCATTTATGTGATAAATATCACACAATAACACACACAAATTATATCAAACTAGTCTTGGATTCATTTAATAAACACACATTGATAAATCTATACCAAAATTTGTGTTAAAAAACTTATTTAAAGTATTGTCACATCTGTTTTTAAGAGTCTATATAATAAACGCTGAGCATCTCGTACCTGGTCGGGCATGATCACTGATCGTTGTCAGGGTCGTTGTTCAGCAGTTTACCCTTGAGGGGGCGTTGGACTTGAAGCACTTCTAAGCGATTTTATCACGAGTTTACTACACCTTTCCCACAACGATTCCTAACACACCACACACTTGGTTATTCCGCAGGCCTCAAGCGAAACTGATGGGCTGGCGAGTTTGAATGGGCTTCAAACTTAGAGCCTACTACTAAATAGGAAGTCACACGGCCGCTTCCTCCCCGTCGCACAGCGTAAATACAATTAAATCAATTTAAAACAATAAACCTCAAAGCAGCAGCCAGCACAAAGAGAAGAGGCAATGATAGATGACAGCATCGGAACAGATAAGCGGGAATCGAGGTATTTGGGTGTTTTGTAGACGCCTCAGCAAATCGCGAGCAGTCTGAAAGATTGAGAGATTATGTAGAAATGTGTGCAAGAAAGTGCAATGGATGAGCAAACTGTACCTACCTAGCAACGAACCCGCGTCACACCGTAGATGCAATACTCTCCTCTGCGATTGCTTCAGGGGTTGCCTCAGGTTGAGTGTTCGTTGTACTTTCTGCTGAGGTTTTCTCTGCCTCTGATGGTGTCACTGCTTCATCCGGCTTTGTCTTCGTTTCACGCTCAAACAGAATGATCAGCTCGGTGTGTGTAGTGTGAGGAAACATGTCCACCGCCACGGCAGATTTGGGATAGAAGGGCTCTCCTTTGTATTGTTTCGATTCCGGCCTAGCCAGATCGAGGAAGTTTCTTTTGGCACTATGAGGATTGCAGGAGACATAGACCAGACGCTTTATGGCACTTGCCGATCGAATGGCGGCTATTGAACGATTATCTGGAAAATAATTTAGATTATTTGTATATTTTTAAATTAAAAAGACCTTGGCTGAGGTTAGCTATGGGCTCCTCCATTACTTACGTAGCCCAGCTCTTGGAGGATCCACCACAGCAACGAGATCTACCGGCTTTCCGGGTTCCTGCTCGTAGAGAGCATCCCTCACCATGCTCTTGATAAAATCATCAGAGTTGCCCGTGTAGAACTTGCAGTTTGTAATGCCATTCACCTCGGCATTGAACTCGGCATCCTTAATAGCATCTGGTACTATCTCAACACCCATAACCTTCCGACAGTGCTTGGCAAAGGCCAGAGTAATGGTACCAGTTCCGCAGCAGATATCCAAGAGGGTTGTGTCTTTTGTGGGAGCCACCAAGTCAATGGCCTGCTGGTAGAGCAGGTTGGCACCTTCGGTGTTGATTTGAAAGAAGGCCAGTGGGCTGATTCGGAATTTGAGGCCTTGAATGGTATCCGTGATGTGAGTGGTTCCGAGTAAATGGTGCACTGGATTAACCATCTGTCCAGCTTCCCGATGCTGGACATCTTGGTAATACAATGAAGTGCACTTGAAGGGCTCGTTTTCACTATTTTCATAGAAGTTTTTCAGTTCATTTTTGAGCTCCTGCTGTTCATCGACACTTAGATTCGAGGAGTAAATGCCAGCCACTAGCATTAGTTCACCAGTGGAACTGGAGCACCTGACCATCAATTGCCGGAAATGCCCCACATTTCCATCGGGATTAAAGGGCAGGAACTTGGATTGCCTTACCAGTTTTTGGAAACTCTGAGCCGCCCACTTGGCCTGCTCTGGAAGATGCGGCAAGTTCTCTACGCCCGCCACTTCCACGGATCCATCGCTGTAGCATCCCAAACGGAAGCCAACTACTATTTCTCCCTCGGAATTCTTGCCCACAGTGAATTCGTTCTTGTTCCGGTAACCATTAACCGTGGGTGAGGGCAGAACTCCTTGAAATTGTATTTTATCCAACGTTTTTTTAGCTTCCGGATTAACACGCCACAGTTCATGCAAATATTTCTTCAGAAGATTAGTCATTTCCTCGCCTTTATGTTTGACCTGATCCTCGTAGGGAAGCTCAGCTAGTGGACAAGTGGCTTCTATTGCGGTTCGCTGCTTCTTTGGGTTTCCATTATTGGCCTGCTCATCGGCGGCCCGCTTTTTCTGGAGAGGGTCGGCGGAGGCTTTGGCAGCAATAGCCTTGAGAACTTTTCCTTTCCATTTGTACCCATTTAGAGTCTCCAAGGCTCTTTGCTGATCCTCCAAAGTGCGGAAGCAAACGAAAGCGAATTCTTTACGATTTGGTGACTTTATTTTGGTCATGTCTAGTTTGAGAGTATTCTTCAGAAGTTTCTTGAATTCCTGAATGCAAAGAATAAATATTACAATTTGAATTGCTTTTTCGTACTTCAATACTTACCCCAATACCGAAATAACCCAGATTTTTAACTTCTATTTTATATATCTCTGAGGTAAACTCGTTTCTTTCCAAATAAGCATACTCCTCGCCGGTTCCTTCTTTTTCCACGCTTACATTTTTGTCTTCTTCATTTTCCTTGAGATCAGATCCATTAGCGACTTCGGCTGATGGTATTTCCTTGCTTTCACATTCCATTTTGTGCAAATTAATTAATATTTTAAACAAAATAAAATTGTAAACACAAAAACACGTGAAATAAACAAGGGTCAACAATAAAAGAACGTTTTTCACTAGCAAACAACCAAGGGTCACTCTAACAGCTGTTTGAATAGAAAATTTATCGATAGGCATTTTAGTATTGGAAAACGCACGCTATAAAGGCGGTCTTTTAAAAAGTATGTAATTGAAAAATTAAGTTTAACTTTATTCTTTAACTTCTTCAAAACGTTTAAGAGCAAAATCAAGTATTGCTTTTCGTTCAGACAGCAACTGTTTCATTTCAGGTTCATGTTGCATTATGTTTTGAATTTCCTTGAGCAAATCCGCAGCTTGCTGCAGTTTTTCTTGGCACTCGCTTGGATCCTCCGTCCTCAAGGCTTGTGCCACAATGGCCTCTTCCATATCAATGAGAAGGTTTCCCCTAAAAATACTCCAACCGCCATCAAAAATATCTGCCAACTTAAGGAGCTCCTCGCAAAGTTCCACTTTTCTGTTCAGAGCTTCTTCAGTGAGTTCTGAAAAGAGTTTTTGGTTAAACTTTTAAAAAAATAAAGTATATTATTCATCTTACCATCCATTTCAAAACCTGGTGCATTTCCATATAGCTGGGTCAAGGCATACTTGGCTTGCAGGATGTGGGTGTTGGTCTCATGGAGCTCCACACGATGGCGATATATGAAGTCCTCCAGAGCCACGGGTGTAGATTTGTCGAGGGTTTCCAATTCCTGCTGCAATTGGGCATCGGAAGTTAACACATCCTTGGCGGATCTCTTCAAATTACAAATCTGGCACTTCCAATTGGCAGAGTTTTGCAAAGGATTCAAGGAGACGATCTAAGAAAAGTTTTTTTAAGTAAGAATATGAATTATCTGATGACACCTTTACCTACCTTTCCTGCCTTGCATTTCAAGCAATCTTGAGCTCCTGCAAAACTCCCCAGTTCCTCAGGATCCTGACACCTGGCGCAGGAGCAGTCAAAGCACTTGGCTTGCCTCAGGTGCAGCCTTCGTTGAATGGTGCTCCTCAGGGGCTGTGTATAGGAAATACTCAAGATCTCGCCTTTGGAAATCTTTCTTTTAGCCAAAAATATAATGTTCATGTCGTCGTCAAAGCGATGTCTCATGTTTGGAACACAATCATGGGAAATCATAGCTGCTCCGGGGAATAGGGCTCGAATTTTTCTCCTCTCCCTGGGCTGTCTAACTTCGAAGGTGTTTGTGTCCAAAATGGCGGCTATTCGAAGGATATCCAGTTCGGACCAGTCTTTTAAGCCCAAAACAGTTTTTATAAACGTAATAAGGTTGGCCCGAAGGACTTGGTACAAAGGAGTTTCCAGACGCTCCTTTAGATGATCCTCCAGGGTGTAGAGCTTCACAAAGGATTCAGGATCCTTGGTTTTAAGTTGCATGCAACGAAGCAGCATTATTACACAATACGCCGACTCCTTTCGCTCCGCCTCTCCGGGAACATAATTTATTTTCGATTGGAAGTTACTGCTGGACATGAGCTGGCATTCGGCCTTGTGATGCGGAGAATTCTCGCACTCCTTGCCACAAAGTGGCCAACTGCACAAGCTGCATTTGTAGTAGTTACCATTACGCTTAGCAGGAGCCAAGAGATTCCGGTGACAGCCCAAGCAGAGCGGAGCAGAGGCCACTTTTGGTCCCAGGATCAAAGGAGCCTCCTTGAGGATTTGCTCTCCAATTTTAATGTCCCTAGTGGCGCGTAAGTGCCTGCCCAGTGTCTCATTGGTGGCCACCTCGTAGCACTTGCACTCCGCCTTGTGGCCCTTCTTCCAGTGCTCCTTCTGGTGCTCCCGACTGCAGTAAACCACATTCCGGCAGGCGGCACACAACTGGGAGGCTTTGGCCTGGCACAGGGCACAGGATGTTAGCGAAGCCACAGAAGTCATCTCGTTTGGGGAACTCTCCTTCTTTTTTAGATATCTCCAAGTAATCTCCTCTGTGTTTGCGTAATGCCCAGCGGTTGAAAATTCACTGAAAAACAATTTTCAATGTTCTGCCTTCGTACACGGATTGCGAGAACATTTTCTTTTGTGTCTCCGTCTCCGGCAGCTGCCAAAATAATCGCTCGAGCGGATTCTGATCCACATCTCTCTCCACATCTCTGTCACATGGCGGCGGCGCACGACGGTTTAAAATTAGATCCCAGAAAGCCAAGACAATGTCTAATTTGTTGGCCGGCAATATTAATACTTGTCTATCTGCCAGCCGAACGAATGGAAATGTAATTGCAGAAGGCAGTATTCAATGGAAATTAAGCTTTTCCAACTGGCTGCTTTTAAATGACTATTTAGAGCAAAACAAAATAATTTTAAAAATTTTGAAATATTTTTCTGAATGCTATAACATTTTTCTCTATAATCCCATTATAAAAACACTTGAATTATTCTTTTTAGCAATTCAATAATTTATTTAGTATTTCTCATAAATTGTCTATATATATTTATATATATATATATATTTTTATTCATATGCAATTAATATATTGTTTAATTGGAAATCAGTCTTTTTTATTTAAATAAGAGTTAAATGCATTTTGTTTTTGTGCTTGTTTTGTTTTGATTTGATTGATTGGATTGATAACTCGATTGATTGAAAGATGACGAATTAAACACAAGTATAAAATAATAATTGAACTAAAATTTGTGCTTAGTTGCTGTTAGGTGTAAGTTGCATTGTTGCTTGTCTTGTTTTTGTTGGGGGTAGTGTTACAAACTAAAAATAGTATTTAAATTAATTGGCTTAGGTAACATAAATATACACGATCGATATAGTTAACTTAAAACTTGATAGGCGGCCTTGATAGTCCATTTATTTATCATTCGATTCAGCATGTTGCAGTTTTGCAATCCGTCTGTCTATACACTTGAAAGCGGCGCTTAAAATTTTTTTTATATCATAGACAACAATTTCATTTAATAATTTTCACTAAACAATAGTTATTTTTTCGTATTTTTTTGTTTCCCCCATTAATAGTTTACAGAGTTACACACACAGCAACACAAAATGCTTGAGGCGACATGTTGCCAGCGGATTTTGTATTAATCTGATAGTGATATGTGTTGCTGCAACATGTTGCTAGGTTGAGTAGCAGCGAAGCGGCGATTCCAATGTTTCTAAGGCAAAAGGCGCATTAATTTTTTGTTTTTTTAATTAAATTATTTAGCGTAAGCTGTAGAGGCTACGGAAGAGTCTTCGAGTCTGGCAGACTCTGTATTTTTGGTTCCGAAGAAGTCCTCTTAAGAAGCTAAAGGAAATGAGTTTGAAAAGGGCCTTTAAAAATGAGGATTTTAACACTAAGTTTAGTTGGTTTTCTATTTAATTTTAAGTTATTTTATAGTCATATTTAAAAATTTAAAAATTCAGATGGTATAACACAATTACTTAGACTCTAAAGTCTTTATTTTAATAAGTTCCCTTGCCAAACTCATTTCTCTCAACTTCTCGCTTTAATATCATTTTCAATTAAGGGGTTATATACAGTTGTACCGCGCAAGAATATGGAATTTTATCGATTTTTTTTTGACACCATAAAAAATATTTATGAAAAATGTTTTACCGACGTTGTTTAGTACATGTTTCTGGGTACCTTATTAAATTTTTTCATAAAAAAATATTACATAACAAAAATGTTATAGCCGAATTCCCGAATCGTTTTTTTTCGATGGTGTCTTGCGGTGGACAGGATTTCTCGAAAACGGTTCATCCGAAATCCAAAATTCAAAAAAGTTTAGTTAGTATATTGTATTGTCTAGTCCGTGAACAAGGGATTTTTAAAAATATTGATTAAAAAAAAAATGGCGACGTTTTTAACAAAAAATGTACTTTTTTAAGGTATAAGATTTTCGTTTTTTGTGCTTTAAAAAAGGAGTTTTCAAAAAAATGGAAAATCCCTCGTTCACGGACTAGCTAATATCATAATAAATAAGTGGTCAAAATTTGGTGTTGATCGGATTAGTAGTTTTTTAGTAATCGTGTCCACCGCAAAGGTAATTTCCCAAAAAAAAGATTCTGAGATAATCGCGTTTGAAGTTTCAAGTTTGTTCAAGTTTTATATGCAGATAGTGCGCTATAAATAGCTACAGCTTCGGTTCTAATGCTCCGATCATTATGAATTTTTGTGAGAGTATTTCCAATAGAATATACTTTAAGAATATGCATTAAAAAAAAAATCGATTTTTTCATATATCACAACTGTATATAACCCCTTAATTGTTTCTTCATATTTAAGATTTAAGTTTCTTTCGGATTTTAGTTTTTCTGATTTAGTCGATAAATGCTAACTTTAAATTACAATTGGCGCTACATTAATCAATAGACTGCAAAACACAAGCAACATTCAAATAGTTTATAGTTTTCAATCGATCTCTAGACGTCTTGCTGCTCCTTGAAGTGATGGTAGTGATGGTGGATGTGCTCGTGCACATAGCGATGAATCATCGAGCTGGAGGCACTGGTGTCCAGTTCCACCTCTGCGGCTTGACCCTCCTCTACCCCCTCCAGGGACTGCTTGCCACTTTCGGTGACGGCCTCGGCCACAGCTTCCCCCACATCGTCGTTAAGGTCGATCAACGTGTCAGTGCTGACCACTTTCCGGGGCGTGCTGGTCACCGGACTGGGCGGCAGATCCTCCTCCTCGCTGGCCAGCAGATGGGCACACTCCAGGGCATCTCCGTAGATCTTGGACGCCCCAGAACTGGAGTTCGAGGTGGGTGGGCGCTGCTCCACGGACTGTGGCAGCTCCTTCAGCTGGTTGTGCTGCTCCTGCAACTTCTGTTGCTGTTGCAACTTGTGCCGCTGACTGCGCCTCTGCTCCCTCTCCTTCTGCTGCAGCTGCTCGCTCAGCTTGGCATAGATGAGATTGCCGTAGTTCTTGTAGTCCTTGCTGCTCCTCTGGGCCGGCTGATCCTGCTGGCTGAGGTGCTGCTGCCCCAGTCGCTGGTATCCCTGCAAGAGGTTCAGGTTCTTGGCAGTCTTTTTGGGTATCGGTTGCACCGTAGCCACGTTGCTGGGCGGGGGTGGGGGCGAGTGGGCGGCTGCACCGCCGCCACAGATAGTGGCATGCAGAAAGGAATCGTAGCCGCATAGATTCAGTTTGTTGTGGGCCGTATTGTGAGTTTGTTGGGCGGCCAACACGGCCGGATTAATGGCCAGCTGCTGGTGGTAGATGGGTATGTGAGGTTGGGGATGCTCGTGGTGGCTGCTGTGATGGTTGCTGTGCTGGTTGCTGCCACCGTTGCCCTCGTTGGCTGCCGGTGTTGGTGCCGGAATGCAGGTGTTGCTGCTGGTATTGTTGCTGTCCACCGTAACCAAGGGCGGACTGCAGCTGAGCGGCGATTGCGGGCCGGATGCCACCGGACCCGGACTGTGGTTGGCAATTAACGTTGGTATTTTCGAGCCCGTATTGCAGCGTTGGCGTTGTTGTTGTTGTTGTGGTTGTTGTATGGGACTCACATTGGCTTGGGGTTTTCTGCAAAAACACACAAAATAATGAGACTTCAATTAGTCTTTGACTCAACCAGGATACTTTGGTTTTAGGGGTTTAAGGTTCGCCATAAAGTTGGAAAAGGAAAATTTAATAAAAAATGATGAGTGTGGAGATGATATGTGTGGTATGACATTTTTAAATAAATTTTTAAAAAGTAAAGTTAAGCAAATGGAAAATTATTGAAGCTTTCTAAATAGCTACTATTTAAAAACACATCTCATGAAAAATATTGAAATAAAATCTGATAAAAATACTTCAGAGATTTTAATTTAAGTTTGAGTATTAAATTGCAGCCATAAACTATGACTTCATTTTCTCATTTCAATAATGTCACAAACTGTCACAATTTCTGCGAATATTCCTCTTGCTTTTATTTTCCAAAAAATGTCATACCCCTGCTGGGAGGTGAGTGGCATTGCTGACTTTTGATTTTTGCTGATTCTCCAGCCAATAATCATTTTGGGCTCGGGGGTGAATTCATCGCGGGATTAGCTTACCCATTCAGCTGAAAACACAGGCGGTTCTTCTCCATGCTCTCCCTGATGATGCTAATCAAATCGTTTCGATTCAGAGCCGATTTCCAGCACTCGGCTGATTTCCTCTGCTGTTGCTGCTGTTGTTGCTGGTGGGTGAGGGATTGGGGGCGTGGCTGACGCAATTGCACACCATCGAGCATCACCTCACCACCCCCGCCCACTAACGGTGGTGACACCGAGGCACTCTTGTGGTTCAGCGACTGGGTGGGCGTGGTGGCAGCTGCCTGCTGCACCACTTGTGGTTGCAGATGACGGTTCTGCCAGGAGGAATCATTGCCCACCGACAAGCTGCGTTGACGCGTTTCGAGGCAGTGATCCTGGTACTGGTGGTTGCATTCAAGTTTGATTGATGACGATGATTTAACCAAAAACATAAAAATAACGAAAATTTAATTAAATAATAATAAAGGAAAATAATAAATCATTGTAATTAATGCATGTGGTAAACAACAAGAGTATAACAAAAACAAAGGGGCGATTCTTTATCAGGACAAGGGAAATTGCTGCCAGACTTGAGGGTTCTTTTTTAGAAGCTAAAGCTTTAGGTTTATTTCAGAAATATATTTAATAATTTTGTATTATATTTAGCCTCAAACTTGCAAAATAAATTAGTCAAAACATGCCCAAGAGTATGTATTTTTTACTAAATAGTTACTTTACAAACAATTAATGATGTTTTCTGTTAAAATAATATTTTTTTAAGACATCATGCAACATTCTGGTTAAGCTGACAGCAATCAAATTATTTGGGATTAGGTTCGGATTTGTTTTTGCCATGATTTCGTTTGTTACCTTGTGCCTACCTTTTGCTTGCGCGCCCTTCGCAGCATCTTGACCCGCTGGGTGGCCTGCTTCATGTAGATGTCCTGCTGCCGGAGCTGCTGGTGGTGCGAGTGGCGGTGCGATGGACAGTCGACCAGATCAGCGCCCTGCTCCGGCTTGCAGCACTTGAGATTCAGCATATTCTCGTAGGTATTGTGGCCATTGTCCGGTGTGTGCTGCTCCCCGGAACAGCACTGCTCCGCTTTGGCATTGTTCTTCTGATGGTACCTGGACGCCTGATGGCTCTGGTGGTGATGGCTCTTTCCCGACGACTTGCCCCCGCTGCCGCTGGGCTGCTCGGACGTGGTCGTGGTGGTGGGGGCCGTGTCCTTCTCCTTGTCGCTGTTGCTGTCATCGTCCTCGTCATCGGACTTAATCAGTTTGCGAGGTCGATAGCGATGCTGACGGCGGTTGCCGGCGGATGTCGTTAGCGCTGCACCACCACCTGACCCACCCAGCCCCGCGCCGCCCGCACCACCCACGGTTTTTGACATGGCCGACAGACCCGTGGGCAATTTCTTCAGTTTTCCACTACTGAATCCGGTTGGCACACCGACCGGCTGCGATTTCGATTTACCCTCGGGACTGACGGTGAGCCGCACGTTGATTGTCTTGCTGCCGCAGTGGGGCACCACCACCGACTTGCCAATGGACTCGTATATGGTGTACACAATGCCCACAATGTCGTCCTTTGTTATCTTGCCGTGGTGGCCGTCCAGGTCGTAGAACGTGAACGAGAACTGCAACGGCTGTGATGATTTTCCGCCCTCCACCGACACGTCGCAGGTGAATTCCTGTTCGTACAAAATGAAAATGAAAAGGACGAAAATGAGTACTCGGAGTCACAATCAGACGAGCTTTCGAATTTGATTTAAATCAAGTGTGCAAAATAAACATTGTTTTGGTAATTTAATTTTCTCACAAGGCTTTTCAATTGTTTGCCCAAAACCTAAGCAGAGGATTAAACTAATCGCTTGGAAACAATTTATTTTAATTATTTCCTTGCTGAATAAACATGCCTTTATTTCGAATTTCAAATGCATTTTATTTAAATCAAATAGAAATTCTTGGATAATTGCATTTGCCTTCAAGAGTGTAAACTAGTTTCCTTAATTAAAAGGTTTCTCTGGAAGTGACTGGTATTTGATTAAAATTCATGTGTGCATTTGCTTTCCAAGAAGTGGATTTCAATTAAACAATAAATGTAAATTACAAGAAAATTAATTGAAGATATTCCGATTTTAGTCAACAAATAAAAGCAAACGTGTCTATAATCTATAACCTATTATAAAATTTAATATATTATTCTAGTTTTCTCAAAATTATAAATAAATTGCCATCTAACTTTGGAAAAGTTTTAAATAGTTCTAGAGCCCCAGTTGCTCATAACACTTTAAATAAATAACAAAAAAAATCATGAGCTATAAAACACCGTTTCCCCCTTAGGTTTTCCCAACTTTTGGCCACAAATTTGTAAACAAGCCATAAGCCTGATTCACTGCCAAACTAACTCTAAAAATTCAGTAAAAAATTTTACTAATAAACTTCTGGGACATGAAAAAATTTCACAGCCATTTTTGAACGAAACATGTGATGTTCTCCCCAAAAGTATGCAACTTTATTGGTGTTGCACTTGCAACATGCTCGGAATGAAAAGGACTGAGGCAAAAACACCAGAAGCCACAGCCAGATGCCACTAAAAACAACAATTAAGAGGAACTCCGAGCCACTAAAACCAGTCGAAAATTGTGGCCATAATTTGACTAAATATTTAATTTCCGCCCCTCGTCCCTGGCCAGGCAAACTCCAAGGGGGGCTCCCGCATGGCAAATCGGAGGGGTACAGCGACTAGGTCCAGCGAAGGGGGGGAAAGACCATTACCATTGATAAAGTGCCGGCAAAAAACACAGCAGCACTACGGGACTACGAGAATTTCAACTTCCACCAGTCGCATATAAATAAATATAATTTCCTTTGCTGGTGCTGCTGCTGCTCTGTTGCTGTTGCTTGGCTTGTAGATTTTTTAATTGCCTTTGAGTGCTTTTCGTGTTTGTTGTTTTGCTTTTAATGGTTTTTATTGAATTTTAATGTTTTGATATTTTTGTTGTAGAGTGTTTTTGTTTTTGGCAAAAACAGGGCACAAGTAGAACACCAAACAGAACGTAACATATCCCGACGTCCGAAACAGAGAATGTTCACCCGCAGTGGGTGGTAATGGAAAATTGGCGGCGCCCTTGTGTTAATGAAATATTTTTTTCCTCTTTCTCGATTTTATATTTTTTGTTGTTTCGGTGGGTATGTGGGTGTGGGATTGTGTAGGAGAAACCCATTGAAATTTTAATTAAAAGCACATGGAAATGTTGAGTTTATGGGCGATGTGCGTTCGGTGCCCAGTGGGTCATGAATTATGGCCGGGCTAACACGATAATAACAGCCCAGCTAGTTTATTAAACTTGACCAGACACCTGGCTGGGGTCAGATCATGCCAGGGAGTGGAAAATGGAAAACCAAACATCATTTAATTTATCGTCATGTATTTATAAGCCAGCTATTGGTTGGGTAATTGAAAAAAAAAGTGTTTCAAGTAAGAGGACTTAATACCCTGGGTTGGGAAATTTTTTTATTTGTTGTCTTATATGGTCTTATCCCTGGAAGTACTCTCAACTCTTTTCTCTTATTTAATTGTTTATTAATAATCCAATTAATTAATCCAAACTCCAATCAACTTTAATAGAAATGGGGATTTGTGTTACCCATTAAGAGTTAACTGAAATTAATTGACCCATAAATATTTACGTTATGAAACGATGAGAGCAAGACAAATCCCATCCATAAATTCATTAACAAATGGATGGAAATTGAAATCGGAATGAACTATAAAAACAAATGTTTATTGAAATGAAATGTTGGCATTCGAAATTCAGATATAATTTACTCTTAACTACTTGGCAGGGAGCTGGAAGTAATGGGATATGATTGGTGGACTTACCTCCAAACGGATGCGCTCCTCTTTGTGGTGGTGCAGGTGGCGGGAGTGGGATTGGGTTTGGGCGTGGCCGCCGTGTGATTGCTGCATGCCAGCAGCTGCTGCGTCCACCACATCCTCGTCCTGATGCGGCAGCGTCTGCTGTTGATGCATATTTGAATATTTTCCGTGCTTGCCATTTGAACTGCTGCTGATGCGCAAATGTTTACTGTGGCTGCCACCGCTGCTCACATCCTGTGGCTGGCCGGACTGATGCCGTGAGTGATGCTGGTGGGGCAAGTGGGCCTGTGGATGGTGGTGCTGCTGGGATGGCTTGCCACTGCCACCGACGGAGGCATTGCCCGGCGGCGTTGTGATTATGTTCACCACCGGCGATCGCAGTTGTATATTATTGTCACGTTCGCTGACCAGCAGCAAGTCCGGCGGGGCGCTGCAGGAGGAGGAGGCGCGCACCTGGTGGTACATCAGCTCCTCGGAGTCTGTGGTGCATTCCTGGACTGCAAAGACACAACGGGGTGGGAGACTTTTAATTAAAATGCAAAGTGGCATGAAATTGGCGGGCATCAAAACAGTTCTAGCCCCCCTCGTACATTGGCTATCGAAATCCCCTCGACTTTGTCGGTTTTTTATACTATATACACTTAGAAAAACTATCTGATATTAAACATTATAAAAAAAAAATCCAGAAAACTTAACTATTTTGAGGCTTTGAAGTCATAAAAGGAAGAAACATATCAACCATAAGCCATTTCTATTTTCTAAATATTTATTCAAAAAAATTATGATGTCAGATTCACTTTTATTTTTTCTTCAGTGTACCTTTTCTTTGGCGGCTTGCAATTTATTTGCAATTTGCACAAAGCACATTACAGCAGCACAAAAGTTTATGCCTCAACGCCAACACAAAGCGTTGGCGACCAGGCGGCCAATGCCGACCCCTTTCCCCTCCACCCCGACCACCACGCGGTCTTAGCCCCTTTCTCCAAGACCCCCTCGACTATATCGGATCTCTTTGAATCCCCTCGAGACACTTGAAAGGCGGCTGCTCGGAGAGCATTCCTAATTAATGACGTCGTCGACGGCGACGGCGACGGCAACGGCGGCGCACTCAAAAGTTTTTCTTTTATTTTTTTTTTTTTTGGGTCTTTTTGTTTCTTGGTTTGGTTTCTTTCATTTTTAATTGAAACGGCTACAGTATTATCTGAAAACTGAAAGCTGAGACCGGGAGATGAGCAGTCTACGGTCTGCGGTTGCTTTCGGGCCATTCATTACTCATACGACGCGTGAGCCCGCACCAAAGCGAAGCGAATCGGACTGCAACGCCCGCCAACGTTTGATGTTCAGTAACATAAAGAAAAGTGGTTTTACTTTGTGTATTAAATATTTCAAGCATATAGAGTATTTTTTAAGATAATTCTTTGATAAAAATACTAGTTAAAACTCTTTGAAATATTTAATATACTCTTAAATTTTTTGAAATTCTTTATTTATAAATATTTTTTCTTTATAAAAAATATGAAAAGGAATAAAAATAATAGCCCACTGCAGCGCAAATCCCACTTGACACACAAATCCCATTCCCACTCTGCAGTAATTCACTCCGTTTACTTCATTCTTAGCCATTCCTGGCTCCATTGTATCTGCGTCATTTTAATTAATTAGCGCGCTTAAATTAAAAAAAAAAGGAAGAAAAAATGAGAAGGAAAATTTCCACTTCTCGCCTGCTGACCCAAATTTGCGGTTTTAGCCCGCTTTTCTATGCCCCGTGCTTTACCATTTCCCATTTTTCATTTCGCTTTCCATTTTTCATTTTGTGCGAGTCGCGTCCTTGCCAAGGACCCCGCCCATTTTCAGTGTTTTCCAGCTCAGCCCAGGACATGGCTTTTAATTGCATGAACATTATGCAAGCAAAGCAGTCCCAAGTCTCCGTTTTGTATACTTTGTTGGTCGCCTTTGTAGGTAATTCCAGTTGCCTTTGTTGCCAATCCCCCCGACAGGAGCTAGGAGGCAGGTAGGGTTGTGCCAAAGAGTTGCCGAGGTGGCGACAATTCAAGACAATTAGCCAAAGTGCCAGGGAAATGAGCCAGTCGTTGAGTCCTGCCAAGTGCTGGAATTGTTTACACAGTCAGGGGAGCTGACCCAGTTACTACTCTAGGAAATCTAGGGGGCTTGGCGGTGAAGGTACTTCTGTTATTATATAAATTGTAAATGTAAAGAAACTACAATCTAACTAAGTCATCATCACTTTCCTAACAAAAAATAGTCTCTTTTCAAAATCACGTGCCAAGAGTTGTCAAATGCCACCTGCTTTCTATGCCTTGAAACATATTTCTTCGGAAATTCGTGTTTTATTACGGACAATTTATAACGTTTTCATTGAATTTATGCGCATTTTTGATTTGCACTATAATGCCCAGTCACAAGCTCACTAATTAATTATGCAAATCTCGACTTGGACGACTTTTATCTATAGCATCTCTCGACTCGGACTTGATAACACAAATATTACACAGCCGAAAATATGTATGGCATATATAGCATATGGTTATGCTAATGAAAAGTTTTACGAACTGGGCCTAAAACGTTCCCAAGCAGGGCCACTTTAATTGAGCCACGAAGCTCACGGAAACACGGAATGAAAATGCTCTCTGCACACATTACTCATACGCCACGTAGGCTGCATTCAATTTGCTTGTATTTCTTTTGATAGATAAGCCGCAGGCCGTGACGTTCCATTTATCATAGAAAATTCATGAGGCTGTGGCCGGAGCACATTTCGACATTGTGACCTCACCACTCTCTCAGGTAAAGTTGGGCCCTTGGGCTTGGCCTCTGACTTGTTTGAGAGCCCATTGCGGTGCGTCTGAGGGATTGAAGTGGTCTAATCGTTTTGGCCCTCTACGCACACATTACGCAAATGCACAAATTCAATTCATTATGCCCGGCAGGCTTAAAGGGTCTACGTGTAATAAAGCTTGAGATGGAGTTTCTTAGAGAGTGAGTACCTGAGTTTGAGTTCCAATCTTGAATTACTTGTTTGGAGATTTAAGTTGACGACTTCAGGCCTTGTAAATGCATTTATGTATATAGTTTGCTATTATAGAGAGTTTTCTCACAAAGCTCAATGACCTGAGCCCTGCTGGATACTTTCTTGTGATACTGCAAATTCTGTTTGTGGGTCATCGGCGAGTCACGTAAGCTCGGCGCCCGCGGGCATTCGCCATTCAATTTGCGCCTATATCTGTTTGGAGTGGCTTAGGCCAAAGTTAATTTGCAAGGCGGCATGTTTCATATCAGACGCCGAAATGCTTTCCTGATGACTCAACAACAAAAGCAAAAATCGACAGAAGGCAGAGTCGATTCCCATTGTGTCGGCCACTTGAGAGCAAAACATGTTCTTTTGGTTTATCTTGGCGCCACGATCGTCGGCATGGGCCGCGGTATTTGCTCAAAAAAAAAAAATACAAAAAAAAAAGAAGGGGGAAAAAAAGCTAAAAGAAATACAAAGGCGATAATTAAACGAAAAACAAAGCGGCCGAGAACAGAGAATCGAGAATCAAGAATCGGAGTCGCCGAGATCTCAGGCACATCAAGTGGTCGACCTTTAATTAGAAAAGGTGTACACAACAAGCCAAGTAACGAAAAGCAAACACTCCACAAAGCCCAAGATAATCCACAAAGCCACAAAACTTGACTGAAAAATGCCCACCAACCGAAAAGACACAAAAAAAAAGACGTTAAGAGCTAATTAATGCCTGAAAAACTGGAAAACTTTTGGCCAAACTCAGCCTGGCAACAAACAGTTTATTGGACAGATGATGGGCCCAAGAAAAAAAAAGTGGTCTTCGTTGAAGAAAAGATATAAACCAAAGATAAAACACTTCATAATTGCGTTGTGTGGCCAAGGAGGAAGAAAAAAGGCGGCCAAATAAACTGAAAAAGCTGCGTGCGAGTAGTTGCGGCCAGATATCTCGTATCTGGCATGTAAGTGTTAATGAAGTTAAGTGTTTTTGACGCTAACAACCGACTGGCAATAACAAAGGCGGCCAGCAATTAAGGAGAAGTCACATACCCTCGACGATAAAGATCAACAAATGCCAAAAGCCAGAGATGTTTGGAAAGCAACAAGAGTTTTCCTCGTCTAGTATCTGGCCGTATAATAAACAGAAGCTATCCAATAGAATGTTCCAATCCAAACAGGCACAAGGCAGAAATTTTAAATTTTTTCCATTCATTTTTCTGGTGAATTACTTCACAAACTCCTTATCCCTAACTTAATCATCCGTCTGATCAGTGGATTAACTCGAGTGCTTTCTAATTTGTGGCTTATACGTCACACTCTGTTTATTTCGCCTTTTTTTTTATAATATTTTTCTGACACTCCACAATTTACAACCGCAATTTGGCAAGGTACTTATCGAAAGCGGGGCAATAGAACCGGCAAAATCAAACGGGTCCTAAAAAATTATTCCCTATCAGGCCAAGAAATCTGCACCACAAATTTTTGTTGTTGTTACCTATTTTGATGTTGTTTTTGTGCTTCTTAGCCTATTTTTTGTTTTTTATTTTTACCGGCACCATTCACGAGGCAAAATCTTATCAGGTGAACGCTTGCTAAATACCAGTAGCAATTATTTTCGAGGGGAAGCCAAAGAGTGGGTCTGAAAGGCAGTCTAGAGCCACACCGTTGGTAGGGGTATAGTTATGGTCGAGGAAGGGGTAACGTTTAATTAAAAGCCGATAATCGATGCGCCAACCCAAACAGTATTACATGAGTGGCGACTCTCCCAATCCCGCGGACTTATCAAAGTATAAAGTTCATGGCAAAAAAGCAAAAAAATAAAACATTGACGAACGTCATCGAATCTATTTGCGCTGGGATAATTCCATTTTTTTGTTGATTGTTGATCTTGATAGGTCGGCTTTTTTATAACTTTACTTTAATGTCACAAATCAAGTGAAACAAACGCCGACATCGACAGTCTCAGATCGAGCGTGCCTTTGTCCGATACTTGGCCGTCTTTGTAGCCCTCTTGGCCCTTGCCGCCGTCTCTCGCCTTTTGGCTTAAATCACGGTGCCCCCGGCCCCTTTTTGGCCCTGTACCCCTGGTCGGTTTTGGCTCAGACCCCAGCTCAGCGCGTGTCGGCTTGTTGGAGGCCTTCATCTCTGCCGCTCGCAACGTGTTCGGAAAACGGGTTTGCTGGGCATTTGTATCTGTTGGATTTTGTATCTCTATAAGCCTCAAATGGGCATACCAAATTACATATCAGCTTGGTAAATGTTTGAACAGAGAATAGTATTTTGAAAGGGGAATTATTGATGAAGAATATCTAAGTTGTTTCTAGAGCTGGACTTATTTATGTCCTAAATTTCTGTTTTAATAAATATTACTATAGTAAAATCCTATACTTTCTTGTGGGATTTTTTAGAAAGTCATCAAACCCTTCCAAACTCCACCAAAGCTCTCCAAAAATTAGGCAACATTTTTTTTCCAAG